TTTGCATCACTGTACAGGGACATAATATTCCCATCAGAGGGTATAGGAAATTTAATTAAATGCTTCACAGAGTTTTACAAAAATTGCTAAAAAATTTTTTTTTGCACTTCAATTTTTAAATGTGCCACTTATAACAACATCAATTACAAACTACTTTTATGACTATCGCTCAACCCTATAGAAGAACTCCGTGTCAGGGATCGCATCCCTCTCCCAAGTGTGCCTTCCACTCGAAGTGCAGCGGCACAAGTGCTACAGTTCACCTGTTTGCTGAGGAAATTGGCTAGAGCCACTGGGCAGCCAGAGTCTCAAGCTTTCTGGCATTAACCGCCTACCAGGAGAGATGTTAGTTTCGGTCCCGCAACTGGCCTCAGTGTTGTGTCACGGGGACACACAGTTAGAGCAAAGTGCTGGGGAGGTTGCTGCTCTGCCAGCGCAGGCAGGTCATCTCTGAGTGTTTATACAGATGGCTCGACTGACTGAACCTCTTGCCACACTTCAGGCAGGCATAGGGTTTTTCACTTGTGTGAACATGGATGTGCTTTTTGCAATCTGTCAAGGTCAGAAAAGTTTTGCAGACGTTGCAGGCATATTTGTGAGCTCCCTCTACAACCAAGACATTGTGCTCTGATAAGGCCTGCTTGCACTTTGACAGGACATCAGCAGATGCCCTGGTCAACTGTGGGGGACCAGGCTGTGAAGGATGGCCATTTTTGAATGAGGATGTGGCCCCATTCATCATTAGCTGAGAACTGGCAGAGTTTTCTGGGATCTGCGAGCTCCTGACAGAAGTTACAACTGGCATTTTGGGAGCTATGCGGCAGTAGTATGGAAAGTTACTGGTTCCTCCTCTGGGGGAACCCATCATAACCCTGGAGAAGGAAGAGTGAAGGCCCAACCCAGACCTGGAAAAATCCATCCCGAACTGTTCTCCTTGGTAGCCTGAAGTCTGCACACATGGCAGGCCCATCACCTCCTGCATGGGCCTAACAAAGTGGGAGTCTGCAGGCTCACTAAATGGGTTCTCCACATGGGAGCCAGGGGCAGAGGAGGGCCCACCTGCAGGCCCAATCTCTGGACTCAACAAATAAGGGGCCTCACCCTCCAGCCTGCAGTCACTAGTGGTGTTTGGGATATTGTCATCATTGTTCTGATTTGCATTAAAGTTACTTCCTCTGCTCTTGTTAAGAAAATTTGAAATACTAAAAGTGGACTTATGTTCTAGGTTATTTGTGACTTCCAGAATGTGGATATCACCCACCCTATCACCCCCACTGGGGATCTGAAAATCTCCGGTCACTGCTTTCAGGGCTGAGGTCTATCTTCTCAGCACTGACCACGACTCCTTCCACTTCCACAGATTTGCTGCCTTCTGCCTGTGAAGTAACATCACTCACCTCATCCTGAGGCTCAGGCAAGCTCAGAGGCTCAGATTTTACCACCACTCTCATGTGCTCCTTCTCACCAAGGCCAACCTCAGGATTTTCACACTGAAAACCATTTTTCTCAGTTGCAGCTTCCTGCTCAAAATGATCCTCAACTTGAGTTGCACGGGAGGCCATGGACAATTGTGCCATGTTGCCAGCACTGTTGTCAGACTGGCTGGGCACCTGGGCATCTTCCTGAGCACCATAAGTCTGGTCAAACATGATGGTACCATCTTCCTGGTTGTCGTTCATTCCATCAGCTTTAGGATTATCCACAATTTTCAGAGAATCTGGTGAAAAGAACTCCTCCCTAGAATGGACCCCTGAAGGCCCATTCTCTGGGGCAACATCAGAAATGGTAGACTCATCCATGGGGGCTCGGAGGCGCTGTCTGGCCCGCTCCTCTGCAGACTGCTTGTGCTTGTGGAGGCGCCTCATGAGGAAGAGTGTCCGCTGGTCCAGGTTACCCCACATGGACCAGCTCATGGGGGCTGGCTGCTCCTCACCACTCTGGCTGAAATTGAGGGCTGAGCTCACAATGCTTAGTCCCAGTTGCTGTAGCATAAAAGAGCGCTGCAGAGTGGGCACTCTGCTCCTGAACACTCTCACTGGGAGGAGACATGTGCAATGCCCTTGTGGTCAAGTAATGTTTACATGCCTTAACAACAGAGTTCAAATGCAGGTGAGAGGCTGCCAATAAGACATCCATAACATTGCTCTCCCCCAGCATGAGGGTGGAGGTGTACATCATGTCGATCAGTGCAGCAAAGGCCTCTGCTGTCACTACCTCGCTATCCAGCTGGATCATGTTCATGGTTTGATCTCCCTCTGCCACTGAGAACAGGGTTCAGAAGTGTGTGCTGCACAGAGCGGTGGGCTTTAAAATGTCTGTTCCCCACTACGATGACACAATCACAGAGCTGGCCATGTAGTCTCTGGTAGTTTAGTTGCTGGAAGATCTGTTCAAAGTGACCAGGAAAATCCATGATCCTACAGGAAAAGCAAAAAAGAAAATGTTAAGACTTAGAAAGTGTTGAGTCAAAGAAGCCTCCTCTCGTCCCTCAGCTCCTTCAGCGGTTCTCCGCCGCACTCTGAGAACACAGCAGCGGCGGCCAACAGTAAACCAATTTTCTTTACATGAATAATATGGAGCCAGTATGTGGTGTGGTGGCTAAGGGTGCTGGACTGCCATATGGCTGACTGTGTTTCAAGTCTTGGACTGTATGACTTGTTTTCTCATTTTCATTCTCTTTCTTGTCAAATTAAACATAATAATAATAATAATAATATAAAAAAATAACAAAAAGCTATTTGATGATGATGGAGATTTTAATGTCTTGGTATTGACTAATATGCATGGTATTCCTTCTGGAAAAAGAAATGTAATACACTGTAAAGTTATATGTGATCAATGTAATATAAACAAGATTTTGATAATAAATAAAATTAATAATAATAATGACAAATTAAATTAAATAAGTAAAATTTTAAATGAACATTAGGGGTCAGTATGTGGCATGATTCATAAGGTACTGGAATCCCACATGATGGACCATGATTTGAGTCCCAGACTTTGCCACTTGCTTTTCCACTTTCCCTCTCTCTTTCTGTCTCTGTTTCGCTGTGCTGAACACAAATCCCACAGAGCAAATTTTAAAATTAATAATAAATAAAATTAACTAAATAACTATATTAAAAAAGAAAAAGAAAAAATGAATAGAGAAAGAAAGGTTTGGGACCAGAAAAAAATAAACACATTAATGTAGGTGCCAAACCTATTCCTGAGACAAAAGTCTGGAGTATCTGCTGACTTTTGGAATAGAAATAGGTAATACAAGAAAAAAAATGTGATTAGTTATCACTCTAATTATTTTTTTCTAAGAACCTTTTAATTCCATCATTATTATTATTAAAATTTGGTATAAGTCATGCACACTCACCAGAGAGATTTAGGAAGGGAAAGTGAGAAAGCAAGTAACCATGTATGAGACTCAAACTGCACTAAGTCTTGTGGGAGCCTAGGACTTTTTTGGTATTATTTTAATTTCTTTTATACATTCAATCACTATACATCATTTCACTTGTAAAGTGAATTTTCCAACATGAATACATTTCTCACCAGTTCAATTAGAGATGCCCTACATATTATCATCAACAGATAATAATCAATTTCTATGTCCCATAAATGTCTTGTCTCTCTGTTTTTCTCCTTAATGTCTTTCCTCATAATCTCCTCCTATCACCTTTCCACACTGGGATCTTAACTGCCATGACACCTGCTGATTTTTCACTGTAATTCTTTGAGGAAATATTGTGTTGTAAGAGTCATGATTTATTTTTAATTTTTTAAATTTTCTATGGAAAAATGTGTCACAACTTTTTCGACAGCCCAATAATATTGCATCAGTATTGCCAAAAGTAAATAAATACTTGAGTATATATTAGACACACCACCTGTTTTTCTTTTTTTTAATTTTTTTATTATCATCATAATCTTTATATTACATTGGATTACATATAACTTTACAGTGTATTACATTGCTTTTTCAAAAGGGAATACCACCTGTTTTTCTAAAATAAAAAAAGTAATTGAAATGTAGACATACTTATTAATTTCCATAATCTCTGGTTGCTTTCCTGCTACATAACAATAGAAGTGAGTATGTCCAACAGAAACCGCATAATATATATGGCAAAAAATATTACCAGTCTCTCAAAAAGAAAAAAAAGATTTATAAACTATGCTTTCAAATGTATATAAATGGATACCTCAAAAAGAACATTCCATCTTTCTATCATAGAATTATAATACCAATTCCTCAAACAACAGGTATATAGGAGAAATCAAATTCCATTCAATAATTTAATGTTTTAAAATAGTTTTATGGGACCTGAAGTTGTTATAGTCACTTATTGTTGAACTCCATCATGGCCAAATGCAGTTCGAGTCCCAAACACGGGGCTTTGAAACTCATGCTGGGCAGGTGTACATGCCAAGATCCTGGGAAGAGAATGGAGAAAAAGAGACTGCAGCATGACCAACCTCTCTGAGGGTGATTTCTCACTTTTTCTCTCACTGTGTCTGTTTCTTTCTCTCTCTCTGGCAAGCACTCATGTCCTAAGGCAAAAAACCTCTATAAAAAAAAAGAAATTAAACATGATTTCAACATTTACATAGGACTATTTATGATATTATTGATAGAAAAATTAAAATGTACAATAAGAAAAGTAGATACACAAAGTGACATGCTATATACAAGAAAAAATCTATAGAAATTAAGATAGAGTTAGAAGTTATGATATGCCAGGAAAACAAGATATTTCTTGTTTTCTGAATACTAAAAAGAAAACTATTCATTTCTTTTGTGATGAATAACTATGATAAGCCATGGAAATATGAAGTTCATTATAAGGAAAACAGAGGAGAGTGTAGAGAAGAAATCTGGAATAAATTCTCATCACTGATAGTATCATTCAGAGCCACAAGATGGGCCAACCAAGATCTTTAGATGCTGAGATCCAGTTTTAAATCACTTTGGTACCACCTGAAGATGAAAAAAATTCTCCCAGTGTTACCAACATAGGTTCTTAATTTGGTATGTCTTGGTATTACCTCAGGGATTTATCTGTGGAAAATTATATAAAAGTCACCATTTTCTTTAAAGTGACAACTAATTTATAAAATTGAATTGCTGGATCTCTGGTTTGTCACCAGATTCAAAGCAGTGTGTCCAGTGCCCAGCTCAAGAGTATCCAAACAGTGAGAGAACTCACTGCCTCCCCAACCCTGTGACATTCCTGGGTTTTGAGGATACTTTGGGGATAATCATGGCCTGCATGGCTGTGTGTTTCTTTGTCCTCACAGCTATAGTCTTGGGAGTCTTTGTGAAGCACCGAGACACTCCCATTTTCAAGGCCAACAACCAGGTGCTCAGCTTTATTCTGCTCATCTCTCTCCTGCCATGTTTCCTCTGCTCCTTGTTCTTCATTGGCCATCCTAATGCAGCCACCTGTGTCCTCCAACAAGTTGCATTTGGCCTTGTGTTCACTGTAGATGTTTTCACTGTTTTGGCCAAAACCATTACTGTGATTCTAGCATTCAGAGCCATGAAGCCTGGAAGAACAATGAAGTGCTTGCTGCTATCTGGGGCTTCCAACTCTGTTATTCCTATTTGCTCTGTGCTACAAATGATTATCTGTGGAATCTGGCTGGGAACTTCTCCCCCTTTTGTTGACATAGACTCACATTCTGAGCCCAGAAATCTTATCATCATATGTGCAACAAGGGCTCAGTCACTGCCTTCTACTGTGTCCTGGGCTACCTGGGCTTCTTGGCTCTGGGGAGCTTCACTGTGGCTTTCCTAGCCAGGAACCTGCCTGATACATTCAATGAAGCCAAGCTCCTCACATTCAGCATGCTGGTGTTCTGCAGTGTCTGGGTCACATTTGTCCCTGTCTATCACAGCACCAAGGGAAAGTTCATGGTGGCCGTTGAAGTCTTCTCCATTTTAGCCTCCAGTGCGGGGCTCCTAGGCTGCATCGTTGTGCCCAAGTGCTATATTATTCTGATAAGGCCTGATAAGGATTCCTGGAAAGCTTTAAAAAACAGAAGAAGTTACAAATAGAATGTAAGGTTTATTCCATAATGCTGTATCACAATTTTAGGGTTTTGAACCAGAAAGATACAGATTTTATATTCTTGTAAAGTAATTGAAAATGGATGGCTCCTGCAAACTAGGGCACAAGAGAAATAAAGATTTTCTACTGATAATTCAGACTCCAGCAAACGAGCTAGCGGTAGGGAGCCCCTCACCACCCCAGCCTTCTATCTCTGTTTCTGTGTCTCTGTTTCTGTCTCTCCCTGATTCTGTCTTCCCTTTTTTTTTTGTAATTTTTCCTTTTTACATTCTTTTTTAAAGGCAAAGTTTTTCTCTGGCTCTCAGCTCCACCTTTTACCTTGTTAATTATCGCTCTGGTCCTCCCACCCAGGCAGAAGAGGTCAGGCCTTCAGAAGAAGGTTCCACATGGCTCCTGCCATGATGTTTTCTATTTTGTGATTTATTTTAAAAAAGAAAAAGAATAATTACCATTTTTTGGGATTTTTTGTCTTTTTTTTTCTCTTTTTGTTGTTGTTTCTCTCTCACTTTTTAATTTTCCTTTTTCTTGTCTCTGCACTCTCCAATATCCATTTAATGTGTTTTTTGACAGATCTAAGAGCACTGTAGCTAAACATCCACAAACTAATAGGGTTAAAATATTCCTCAATATCTCCTGAATCTGCTGCACCAGCAATCACAACAGAATGGCAAAGAGATTCTAGATCACCTCTGTCTGCTTGCTCCTGAACATTCAGA